TGGTGATTCAGGTGAGAGACTGCAACGTGGGCTGGTTATGTGTTCTATAAAGAGGGCCAGACGCTACCTTCATCAGGGTTGATTGGGTTTCGTTGCCTATATCATGGATACCTAGGATAAGGGTAAGGCGACTGTGGAGGATGTGCCAATCGTGTGATATTATCTGAATGTGTTCTCGAAGGATTTGCCAAGGATACCTCCTTAGAGGGAGGTGGAGTTCAAGATTGGTTTGGTTCCAGATACGACTATGATAGCCAAAGCACCATATTGGTTGGCTCCTCCTGAGATACAAGAGTTGTCTACATAGTTACATTAGCTTTTAGACAAGGGATTTATTAGGCCGAGCAGTGGTGCCCCGATTATGTTTATAAAGAAGAATGACGCGTCTTATTGTATGTGTATCGACTACCGAGAGTTGAATAAGGTAACTGTGAAGATCCGTTATTCTCTTCTGAGGATTGATGATCTTTTAGACCAGCTTCAGGGTGCATATTGGTTCTCCAAGATTGATTTATGATCAGGTGGTTATCATCATATGTGGGTCCAGGATAAGGATGTGCAGAAGACAGCTTTCCAAACCCAATATGGTCATTATGAGTTGGCGTTGATGTCGTCTGGGCTCACTAATGCTATCGTCGCGTTCAAGGATCTCATGAACTGCGTGTGCAGAACGATGCTGGATCGGTTTGTGATAGTCATTATTGATGATATCTTGTTCTATTCCAAGACTCAGGAGCAACACGAGGAGCAATTGAGGGAAGTATTGGAGACATTGAAGAGGGCGAGACTTTTTCCAAATTTCTCGAACTGTGAGTTTTGGTTGCATGAGGTCCAGTTTCTGGGGCACTTTGTTAACCACAAGGGTATTCTGGTCGATCTGGCCAAGGTTGAGGCTGTGATGTAGTGGGAGGTTCCGAGGTCTTCATCAGAGATTCATACTTTTCTTGGTCTGGCGGGCTACTAACGGAGATTCATCCAGGATTTCTCCAAGATCACTGTTCCATTGACTTGACTGACTAAGAAGTCAGTGAAATTTTGTTGGGGGCCTGAGCAGCAATCAACTTTTTATATGCTTCGATAGCGGTTGTGAGAGGTTCGGATACTGACCATGTTGGAGGGTGTTGATGATTTTGTGGTTTATTGTGATGCCTTAATCATGGGTTTGTTGGATTAGGTGTCTAAGCCCATAACTATAATTGGTATGTACTTGAATTGATAGTAGTAATGTCCTTTTGGGTCGTCTTTAAACCTGGCCATTGAATAGGATAACTATTGGAGAGAGAATAATGATTTATTAACTTATTACTTGGTTAATAAATTAATATGAAATGAAGATAAATGATTTATTAATGTATTATGGATATGATATATTAATTAGAAATCATATTGTTTTACTAATATTTAATCAGAAATTAATTCGGAATTAATTTTCAGATTAAAGGAATTAACTGAAACTGTAGGGACTAAAGGTGAAAATGTTAAAAAGTTAAGCATTGAGCATTCTATAACCTCCCTTAGAGATGGGGAATGAAATCTAGAGTGTCCTAGGGTTTCCTTGGTCTCTAAGGGTGCCTTGGAAGCCTTCGGGAGGAATTTAACAGATTGGGGTTATTTAAGATACACCTGCCTTATCCTAAACCTTCCTTATCACCTATATAAACCCCTATAGGGTTGGATTTCTTCCCATGCACTCCAAGAAAGGCTATGGGCCGAAATTCTACTCTACTTCTTTATCTCCATAGTAATCCTTAGTTGCTAGGTTTGTTTGTGAGCCAATGGAGGCACGACGCTTGTGGCGATTGCTACCAAAGTTCAAGATCTTCAAGGATTTGATTGTTATTACAACATAACAGTAAAGGTATGTATCCTAACCCTAATTATATGTTAATTTCGAAAATTACATGCACCTCCTAGTGTTTCTAGTTTTTGTGTTCTATGCTTGTATGTCTAATAGTGAAAACATAGATCCTCAAATTAGGGTTGCATGTACACCTAGGATTGTTTGCTTTGTATAAAACCCATCAGTGGTATCAGAGCTTTTGGTTGTTGTTTTCAATTAGATTGGATACAAGAATGCACTGAACTTGTTCAATCATTATTTCTTTCTATCTGACAGCATAAGGGCCTACCATGTCTTCCAAGTAGTCAAGCAGCTCACCCATATAGATCAATAAACTTTCACCAATCAAGGAGATTTGCTTTATGCAATCAATTGAGAACTCTTAGAACTCACATTCATAGTCAACTTTACTGGAATGGCACAGAAACAAGAATATGTCAACATGATAGGTTATAAACCTCAAGTCGTGTGCTAGTGATGATCAACTACGTTTATTCTTGATTTGTTCTTGAAACTTTTTTAAGATCATTAAGACTCCCACTGACCTCTTGACATATAAAATTCTCTTGTCAAGAAACATTGCTTGACAAACAAATATTCAAGAGTTAGTGCGGGTTCCTATCAAGACAAACCCATAACTCACGATTGGTCTTAGTTGGTCTTTGTCTTATCCAAGACATCACAACTTACCAATTCCAAACATGCAAAAGTAAGAAACGTTTCTACTCCAGATTTGATGAGTGTTATAAACCTTCTTAAGATGATGTCACTCAAGTCACAATCTTGGAGTATGACTCTAAGACTTGATTTTGGAACGCAATATGATTTACCTTTTGATTTAATCATTTCAACAATTGTCGATACCTCTTCTTAGCCATACTAGTGCACTAAGGTGTCCTTAGAGGATCAATTATGACAAGGTTTCATAATCACTATGTTAATCATAAAACCCGATAATTAAGTACTCTCCATTTTTTTAGATTGGAGAAACTTTTATATTTCTGCCTAATTGATTCTTCCTATTCATTTTGCTATACATTGAAACCTTTTCAATGATTCAGAATCACACTTAATCTTGTAAGCATAACCATATTTGCTAAACCTTTAGCAAATCATGACGAATACTCTTATCGTTCTTTATGGAGGAGTTGACCTAGTGCACAACAATGCGTACAAGATCCTTTATTCCTTCACTTGAATCACATACTTACGTGAACAAGGAATTAGTCTTAGTTTACCAAATATAGAGGTTCTCATTCATCATACGATACAAGTAGCATGATTCCAAGTTCCTGCCTAATTGAAACTTGGGTGATGAGAATCTACTAGGGTTGTGCATGCGTCGGTTTGGGTCGGTTTTCGACCCTAACCCAACCCAACCTGTAAATAATAGGTTTCTGGTTGGTTCGGTTTCTGGGGTTCGGCTATCGGTTTAGGCGGTTTCTCGGTTTCTTGGGTTCAACCCATACACTTACGGTTTCTAGGTTTAAACCCATGGGTTTTGGGTTTAAACCCATTTTCTAGAAATGGAGAAATATGTTAAATAATTCAAAAACACCTAATTGAAGTTAAATACTTAAAAAAACATGAGTTTTACAACCAAATTGTCTATTACAGCCAAACACACAATCAAACTAAAACACACAACCAAACTAAAACACAAAGTCCGAAATTGTCGATTAGACGCCAAGTGAGAAAATGAGTATTGAATTCGATTTACAGATTACGCCACATTTACGATTGTAATATTAAATATTGTGTTTTTTAATATGTACATGGTTCGGTTTTACGGGTTTAGTGGGTTAGTTTTACAGATTTAGTGGGTCTATTTCTATGTAAAAACCGAAACTGAACCCAATTTTTCGGTTTTTAAAAAATTTAAACCCTAACCGTCGGTTTTGCTTCAGTTTCGATTTTGTCAGTTTTAATCAGTTTATCGGTTTCTTGGTTTGGGGTTGCTCACCCTTGGAATTTACCTTATTTGTAAATTTCTAACACTACCACAAATAACATAACTAAGAATCACATCCATTTTCAAATATTGCTACAATATAAACACACAAACATCAATTTTAACAAAAGTCATTGCAAGGATATATAAATAAATAAGACAAAACAAAATTTATTTTATTTATAAAAGTGCGGAAAACTTGTCCTTACAATGCAATTACAAATGAAAACTATGTTACTAAACATTTCTAAGCAAACTATCCTAATTCTAAAGCAGCAACTCAAAAATCCGATCTTCGAACCATGCAATCGAAATCCATTTCTTCGTGATCACACTCAAGTCACTCTTCCTTTAAGCTTCCATTTTTTCTTTGATCCTACAAAACATCAAAATGCAATCTTATCACATCATGTATTAGGAATCTATAAATACGAACTTAATAGAGTTAGATAGTGGATTTACCTAAAGCAAAGTCATACATCTTGAGTCTCCCATCTTCGCGATCCTTCAGGTAGATACAGCAGCTTCACATCCAATGCCCCTTCTCTTGGCAGTAGAAACTAGAGATGGAAAAAAAACCCATACCCAACAGGTACCTGAAACCCTAACCCAAGTTGACCGGGGATGGGGACGGGGATGGGTATGACCCGAATATAAAAAGCGGGAATGGGGATGGGGATGGTTCTACATGTCGGGTACCCATACCCGTACCCGAAACCGGCCCCGATGGGTACCCGATATATATATATATATATATATATATATATATATATATATGAGTTCGTGTACAAATGAGAGTAAGATGTGAAAATGGTAAGAACCAATAGGAAAGAAACATGTGTATTAGAGTAGTTGTTGTTTTTATATCACACGTAATTGTTTGTTTTTTATAAATTGTTTAATTAAAAGGTTATAAATGTAATTGTATTTTGTAGTTATTTTTTTTAATATAACCGTAAGTGAGAAGTTAGTAGACGGTTTTCAAATTGATGTAACCGTTTATGCGTAATTGTTTCAAGGTCTACGTTTATGTTGTTTCAAATTTTATTCAGAGGGTTTTCTTATAGGTTTATCTATATTAGATTATGTATTTCAACATTAATCAACATAATGTTTGCGTTTAAAGCTTTGTTATATGTGAAAGTGAACATGAATAGGCAAAGTTCGAATTTTAAACTCATGAAGAAATTTACAATTGCATCTCAACGAATGGTATCCAGGAAGAAGGATTATTTAAATGAGAATGTGGTTAAAGTTGATTGCATTGTTAATTCTCGTGATCATCCTATAGAAATAGAAGATGATGAAGTATCTGAAGGGAAAAAATTTATATATGATGAAGTTAAGAAGGAGAGTAAGTTATGATTTGTTGTTGATAATGTTTTTCAAATTAACTTACGTTATCAATTTTTTTCGGTTTGATTTTGTTATGCTTGCATGTGTAGATGATGAGAGTCCAATTGAGATTTATTCCAGTAATTCTAGGAATAAGACAATTGATATTTCATCTAGTGATTCTTGGAAGAAGAAAAAGCCAAGGAATAATGTTATTCAGTCTGATTATAGTTCGATGAAAAAGAGAAAACATGGTTTGTTTGGTCGATTAAATTCAAAATCATCTGATTCAGAAGGTTAGTTTTTATTATGTGGTTATTATTTAAGTTTATTATTAATGTAGATTATAGTTTTTTTTTTGTTGGAAATAATTTAGATTATGTAAGTGATTCTGATTATGAAGTTCGGAGCATTACAAGGAGCAGGAAGTTGGTTAACAGAAGTGATAGAAAAGTTAGTAAAAAAATTGTCTCCGAACATGGTAAACTTGAATATAATGTTTATTATTTATTGTGTTATTATTTATTGATTATGTTTTATTAATTTTTTTATATTATTTTACAACGTTTGTATGTTGATAATTTTGTTCTAGAGTTTTCTAGTGATTCTGATTTTGAGGATGGTTCCAGTAGTAGTGTGAAGAGGGTGGATAATATAGCTGATAAGAAAGTTAAAAAGAAAATGGAGTTGCATAGTGATAAAATAAAGTCATTGTATTCTCGTGTTTCTCTTCATTCTATATATGGTGTTGTGAAGTCTATGAATCATAAGCAAAAAGAATGTGTGAGGAATTTGGGATTTGGATCATTGATAGACATGAAGACTCAAAGTATTCTAGCAAAATTATGTTATTTTGTTGTTGATTCGTTTGATCCTTTAGAGATGGTTATTAAAACTGAGGTTTCTAATATTTTGGTTACAAGGGAAGATGTTAATAGGGTGTTAGGGCTGCCTATGGGGATTGATCAATTAAATAGTGTTGATTTAAGAGGTAATGAGGAATGGTATGAAATATGGAAAGATCAATTCAAGAAGTCGTTGTCTTTAATTACTCCAAATGATGTTGTGTACAAGATAATAGAACGATGTGAAGCAGATATGGTGTTTGTTGCAAACTTTATTATTCTTGTATGTACATGTTTTGGATAATGTAACAAACAAGGTGCATGCAATTTGAAGCTTCTACCGTATTTGTCTGAATCATATAAGTTAGATAAGTTTGAATGGTGTACGTATGTTTTAAATTGTGTAAAAGAGGAAAAGTTGATTTGGGGTAGAAGTGATATTAAGACCTTCTTCAATGGTCCAAGTGTCTTTCTAACGGTATGTAATTTAATGTTGTTTGAGTAAATATTTTTAAAATATTAGTAATATTTATATTTTGTTATTATATTTTGTTTTTTTTGTAGTTGCTATATGTTGATAGGATTTAATGTAGGCAAATGTCAATGGTTAGAAGATATCCAGTAATTAATAATTGGACTTTAGAGCAGTTGAAAGTGAGAGAAATGAATGAAATTTCTAATGGAGGTTTTGGAAGGCCATCTGCTACAGTGGAAAGTGTTGATGAAGTTTATAGAGGATCAATTTTAGTAAGTAATGTTATTTGTGTATTTCTGAAGATGAACTTGATTTATTTGTTTGTATGTTGTTGTTATGTTTAAAATTTAAGTTATATATATTAATTATAATTTGTTATGTTTTTTTATTGTTATCAGGAGTTTCATTCAGAAATGAAGTGGTGTTTAGTAGATATGTCTAAGAAAGTGGATAAAGCCTTTAAAACGCATGGAAATTTGAAAATAGTAGAGTTTTATGGAATGAAGCTGAAAGAGTTATGTTCTGCATATAAAGCTTTTCGTCATAGTAATTATAAATGTGAATATCCTTTTCAGTCATCTGGAAAAAGTAGTAGTTGTGATGATAAGTCTAATGAATTTCTAGATGTTGGGCAGTCTATTAACAATAGCGTTGGTGGTAATAAATATGGATCGGCAAATTCGTTTGAAAAATCTGGAAATATGGAAACTAAGTTGCATGTGGATTGCGAGGGTGGTCATAAGGAAAAGTGTGTAGTAGAGGGTATTCCTTCTTTCAATTTAGGAATTGATGATGATATGCATACTCCTCCAAAAGTGAGTCCAGGTGTTGTTGTTAATAAATATGGATCGGCAAATTTGATTGGGAAATATGGATTTATTGAAAATAAGTTGCCTCTGGATTGCGAGGATGGTCATAAGGAAAAGTGTGTAGTTGAGAGTATTCCTTCTTTTAATTTAGGAATCGAGGATGATATATATACTCCTCCAAAAGTTAATCCAGGTATTGATAGTTATGTGGACAATAATTCTGTTTCTGTTGGAATAAGTTCTGATTCAGTCAAAGGGAAGGAACCAAAGTCTTGCGATGAAAGTGAAAAAGTTAAAATTCTTGAGAAAGATATGATTTCATCGAGACCAAAGAGAAGTCAAACGTTACCTCCAGTGCTTAGGTCTCCATTTGTTGTACGAGCTGTTGAGATTGATAGTAATTTGACGAAGGAGGAGAATATCAAGTTTAATTGGCTATTCAGTTTATGTGGGAATCCAACGTAATGTGTTTGTGTATATGTATATATATTTTTATATATAAATAATATTTAAGTTAATGTTTTTATTTTTTTTATTTTAATAGGGATGATCTTTTTCATAGCATAAATGGTCAACGTGGTGAAAGATACATGTTTGAGAGCTTATATCCAGGAGAATTTCTTTTCTGGGACTATTGATTGTTTTGTTGAAGTGTTGAACTATGATGAGAGAGCTAGGAATTTGGACACTCCTTCATGTTTCTTCTTCAAGACAGCAGTATTGGTATGTATAGTAGTTGTTAGTATATTTTTATAATGTTTATTGAACTTTGGTTTTTTATTTAGGATCCTGCATACATGCATAGTGAAGCATGTAAATATGATGATGTGTACGAGAATTTTAAAGAAAATGTTTTTCATTGTTTGAGAGAGTCTAAGGAACGAAGAAATTTAAAAGGAATTGATTTGGTAAGTTCAATTTTTTTTTTTGAAATTTTATTCTATTTGTGTTTGTATCTTACTATGAAGTTGTTTATGTTTATTTAGGTGTTCTTTCCTGCATGTGCAAACAGTCACTATTTTGTGTTTGTTTTTGATTTTAAAAACCGCAAAGCTGTCATATTGGACAACATTTTGTATAGATCTTCTGAAAAATCATACCCACATCTAATTCAAAATCTGGTAAGTTTGTTTGTATTTTTTTGTTTAAATGTTTATATATATTAATGAGTTATGTATATATTTTTTATAAATTATATTGAATTTTTGTTTATATTTAAATGCAGAAATATATGTTTGGTAGATATCTTCAAGACATAAAACATTTTATGGCTTTTTCAGTTATGTATGAAATGGAATTTGTTGATCAATATATGACGTGGAAAACAAGAGGTAACAGTAATGATTGTGGGATTTTTTTGATGCGTCATATGGAAACTTATAAAGGTGGTCCTTTAGCTCATTGGAGATGTGGGTTTAAAATGGAAAGTGTTGAGCAGATTATGCAACATAGAAATCTTCGAAGAAGATATTCTATGAAAATTTTGTTGAGTGAAGTTAATTTAATGAAAAATGAAGTTGAGCAACTTCTTGTTGATTATCAAAAGATTTCTTCAAATGACAGGCGTGTAATGTATCATGAAGGCATTATCAATATAGCAGCTAGGTTAGCTGCTTTTGGTCCTTGATATATATTTGTTGAAGTAAAATTCAAGTCGTTATGTTTATGTAAAAGTATTAATAGTAATGGTTATGAATGAGTAAGTAGAACAATTTGTTATGAAGTTTTATAAATGTCTGTTTGTTTTTGGTTGTTATTTGTTTTGGTTTTATGTAATGTACTTCTACGAACATAAGTTTATAATAATATATGAATAGTGTGGCTAAGTTTTTTTGGTTTTGATTTTGATTGTATGTGTATAATCTTTTATAAAGTTAATATTTACAATCATATATAATATTAACATATATAAGTACATAATATCTATAATTTTTAAAACCATCATATCTAAAATTTTCAGAGTAAGATATAAACAATAATATATAATATAAACATTATATCAACCACCATACATAATATTTAAAAATATATTACAGTCCCCATTCCGGTCATACCAAAAGTTTGATCACATAAACATATTATAAAGATGTCCAAATATTAATAATAACACCATTTACTTAAACCCAAAAACCCAAAAACCCAAAAATTCCAAATTCCCAACTTTTCACCTTGCAGCTTCATCTACTTCCCCAGAAGATTCACTTGATACTTGGTGTAATCCAAAGCTTCAATGAGTTTGTCAACATTGATCCAAAAGTTGAATTTGTCAAAAAGCATGATCCTAGCCTCCCAAACAGTAATTTTTGGATTTGATGCAACTGATGAATAGAGTTTTGTGCACAGATAACTGTTTGTTGCAAACTTTAAAGTATTTGGGAAGAAGTTTGTAACAGTGGTTTGATTATGCTCCAAATAGAACACAAAAAAAACCTTCCGTTTTAACTTTTTTGACAAAGTTAATGAAATCATTCCAATAAGCAAGCTTGTTTAGACCAACGTCTAAGGGAGCAAAGGAGACTAAAGAGTATGCATATGTTTTCTCAACATCATAACCAAAAGAAGTTAAGATGCTTTGAAATACCTTTGGGGAGAAAGTTTCAACCTCGATGAAGTCTATATAGTCAATCTTGCCTCCATCGTAATCGCGATTTGGGTAGTATTCGAAATTTCCTCCATGATGTAGCATCATCGTGAAGTACTTTTTGTTGTCCCACCCTGAATGAATATTGAAAAGAATATTATATAAGTATTAATAGTATACGATTGTAACAATAAAGAACATACCATATGTGTCGTAAAGATCAAGATAATCCGAGGTGTTTCGAACTACCCAAAGGGATGATTCAGAAGCCATCAATGTATGTGTTTTCTTCCTTAAGTTTATGTTTATGTTTAATAGGAATATATAGCGGTAACAATCGGAGTAAGTAGAGGAGTAATTAATTTTCTGCCGTCATTTGCTTCAAAAAGTTGTATAGCTATTTTGGCGGTTGTAGGTTTAGCTAATGATGTTATCTATACATTGAAGATGATAATACTTATCTTTTTATGAAAGTAATTTTTTTTTTTTGTATTTTATAAAAGTAATCGGTATATATTACCTATTTTTAATAAGTTGATATATAGAAAATAATTTTTTTTGTATGTTATAATGTGATAATAGTGTTGTTATTGATTATAGTTTGTACATATTTTTTATGTTAATTTTTTTTTAAATATAAATTATAAAGTTATTAGTAAATGAAAAGGTTTTTATGTGAAAGAAATGTATGTATTTATTGTAATTTTGGTGTTTTGACTTCTCTATTTATGAATAGATTCTAGTAATAAATGAAAGATTTTTGAAATCATTTAAGTAATAAATTTCGAAAAAAGTATCATAATTTCAAATAGTTTATTATTTTAACAATTCAAAATTGGGTTATCAAAAAGGATATGATAAGAGTTTCATAATTAACAAATGAGACAAAGATAACTTGCACATCTGTATAGTTATCTATAAGTCATTAAGCTCATTGATTTCCAAAAGTCACCAACAACCGTTACGTACTAACCTAAAGACATGTATGTCAAAATAATATATTACCTATTTTATAAATTTGATATATAGCAAATATTTTTTTTATATGTTATAATGTGATTACAGTATTGTTATTATATATAGTTTTTACATTTTTTTTCTTTAAATTTTTTTTAAATGTAAATTATGAAGTTAGTATTAGATGAAAAGGTTTTTATGTGATAGAATGGTTTGTAGTTGTTGTAAATAAGTTGATATGACGTCTCCATTTATGAATAGATGATAAGGTTTGTATGTGAAAGGGTTGTATGTATATTGTATAATATATAAAGTCTATATTAGATGAAAAGGTTTGTTGTGAAAGGGTTGTATGTATTTATTGTATTTAAGATTATATATTAATTTTTTTTTTCTAATTGTAAATTTTGAAGAGATTTAAGCAATAAATGGAACTTTTATTAGGTAATATAGTATTATATATTTTTAAAGATTAGTTGCGTATATAACATGTGTAATATGTAATATTATATTTTTCAATCTCATTAGAGTTAATATTTTTAATTGTACATTTGTATTTATTGTAAATAAGTTGATTTGACGTCTCCATTTATGAAAAGATTTAACTATATAAATGAAAGATTTTATTAGGTTATGTAGTATTATACATTGTTGAAGATTTGTTGCGTGTATGTACATGTGTATAATATAAAGTCTCTATTAGATGAAAAGGTTTGTATGTGAAAGACATGGTCAAAAGAGTTAATTTTTTTAATTGTACATTTGTCAAATGACATGGTCAAAAGAGTTGGAGAGAAGATGTTGAAGGAAAAAGAATAGGTACGTAATTCAAAATTCAAATTGTTTAATGCGATTAATAGTAATAGTTTTAATACAGAGAAGCTTAAACAAACAAATTTAAAATTCATATATAAGTTACTGATGTTTTTTGAAAGGCCTAAGCACATTTGAAGGATTTATTGGGCAATTTCTTATATCATGGTTGACGAATTGGTTGCATCCTTTGCATTTGCGTTTTGGTTTAAGTGCTTTTGCTATTGCTTTTTCTGCAGCACTTTTGATTCGACTCTCTTTCCACTTCCTTTTGTTTTTATCTCACTTGGTACTTTGATTTTCACATCACTTGAAATTGGAACTCCAATGATATTTTCAATCACATCTTTTATGGGAATTGAACTTGATCTTGAAACATCTTTTCCACAAGTTTCACTTAATTGTTGAAGAGAGTTCACCAATTCTTGTAGTTTTTCTTTATCATGAATAACCGATTCAACGCATTTTTCAAAAAAAGAAGTTGCATCCTGCAAGAGATTTGAAATTTCTGTACTGCACACTCTCCATTTTTTGTTTATCTTTTGAAAACCAATATCCACTATGTTCTTTCTCCATCTATCCAGAATGTATTTTTCAGGTATCATGGCAATGTCATAATCTATAAGAATTCTGAAAGCATGACTGCAAAGGATTCCAAAAAATGTGAAATGCAAACATTCACATTCAATTGTTTCATCTTTTGCATCAAAAGAAACCTAAGAAGTAATAATAAATTTTTTTAAAAAAATATATTTATAAATTATAAATAATGTTAAATTAAAATAATAATGAAGTAGCATAATTGAATACCTTAAATTCTGGTCGCTTGCCTGATTTTAGTTCTTTGTAGACAAATGTGCATTGTTGAAGACCATCAATCAAAACCGAATTTTTTTGAAAACACTGATAGAATGCCTTTTTTATTTGTTTTTGCACTTTTATGAATGCTTCTCGAGTGTATACCAATGATGCATGCTTTTCTATTTTCAAATTTTCATTTGGAAATAGTAGTTGTGGCAAAGTATCTCTTGATGCAATGTCTAATCTTTTTTGTTCATGACGCTGCTTTGAAAGTGCAGTGTCAAAGTTGAACATAAAATTAACAAGTAAGTTTGTTGGACTTGAGAAAACATTGAAAAAGGAATTAGAACTTTCAGATCGAGATGTAGTCTATAAGTCCACACATTGGTATATCTCTGAAATAGGATGGAATCCATTTATCTCTCTTGTTGAACATATCAGCCAACCATTTATTTTCCTTCAAATGAAACTCATTCAACATCAAATCCCATTTGTTCTCAAATTCTTTTGGTTTAATATTCATATTCCAAACTAGTTGATTTATTCGTTTCTTGAAATCTGTATTTGAAACTAAGTCAGCTTCAATCTGTCATGTTAAATTTGGTTTTATTAGTATATTTTCATAAGCTATATGTAATTGTTTAAATTAAATTTTTTGTTACCTTTGATGGCATTTTTGACATTATGTGCCACATACATAATCTGTGAGTACATCCTTCAAACACCTTTGCTATTGAACAAGATAATGTTGCATCCATGTCTGATAGAATCATTGTTGGTTTCTTCTTATGTGATGACAAAAAAGCTTCTAACAACCAAGAGTATGATTCAATTGTTTCATCTGATATTAGTCCTGCTCCAACGTTGATTGTTTTGTCATGATTGTTTATTGCAGTGAAAGGAACAAATATCATATTGTACCTGAAAGTATTTGTAAAATTTATCCCTTATTATGTAATATTATGTAATAATATAAATTTTACCTGTTTGTTCTATAAGTAGCATCCATTGATATAACATCAGAAAACTTATTGTAGTTTTCTCTTCCTGTTTCATCAACCCAAAACATAGCATTTAGCACATCATCA